ACTCTGCAGGCGGTGAGCGAACGACGAGGGACGGCAAGGAACAAAAAAATACCCTTCCGCTGATCCTTTTGGGTGGCTCAAGCCGTTAAAAAGCAGCTTACGATTTAAAACCGCGTGCGGGCGCTCACTCTGCCTAGCTCGAGGGCGGCGGGAGCTCCGGTACGTTTGCCCAGCACTTACTCTTGAACCTACTGATTTCCTCCAGGTATCCCTCCGTCTCAAAACAGCACTTTCCATCTTGAACGCTTTGCCTTTGGATTCTGCTCGACTGGACAAAGTCTCTTATTTCCAGCACGGTTTTTCCTCTTTACGCTGCCCCAACGCTCAGGAATTCAGGGACAAATTCTGGATATGATGGAAATTCTCTATTAATAACCGCTAGCGCACAAACGAGGAGCAATAAAGAGGAGAGAAAATCGAGAGAGCTCCCGGGGGCCGCGACGGGGCAGGGAAACGCGGGGAACCAGCCACAGAAAGCCTTGAAATAAGCCGCGGGTTTCGTCCTACGGCTACGGGGGCCAAATCTGGGGAGAAAACCCTCCAAAAGAGCAGTTCCCCTTCAAAACACAGGGTCCCCCTCGCCTTACAAATACCGGCGCCAGGTGCCGGCACACGTACGTACTTGCCGGCCGTTGCGCGAGCAGGGAGCAGCGTGCGCGCACGGCTGAAGAGCTCCTCCTGCTGCAAAGAAGGAGGCGACAAGAGCCCCCAGCGGTCACGCACAACGGGAGCAAAAACTGTACAAAACCAACGGGAAAACAAGCAGCGAGTGGGCACAGCAGGCGTCTGGCAAAGCGAAAGAAAAAAGGAAAAAAAGCAGGCAGGGGAATACCTGGCACCGCCACGCCGCGGGAGGGCAGGCCGTCTAGCTGGAGGAGATTTTTTTAAAAAAAGGAAAAACACTTATGAAAAGTCAGGGCTGACTACTGAAAGACGACCCGGTTGGATGCCGTCCTGGAGATCAAGCTGCACAGGAAGTCAGGGAAATATTAGAGTTGCAAGCTATATCCCAATAAACGTAATGCAGCTGTGCCCCGAACTGAGCAGATTAGGCCTGGATCACAGCGTGGGATTATAGGACCACGTCAAGCGCTCTCTTACATTTTGCCATCTAAAGATTAGATAGTTTAAAGCTGCAGCGCATGAAACATGCCTGAAGGAGCAAAAATGAGCGAAAGGCTTGTTGCGCCGTTGCCCCGGGGGGCCGCGGACACCAGCCCGGGGGAGACACGGGACGGGAA